GTTCTTTAATATATATTTGTTTAATGCGAATGCTTTATTTATTATTATTTGTTAATTAATATTGTTGCTGCATTTCTTTTAGAGGAAATGGTGTTCTGTATGTCTCGAGTGCAGCGACTGTCTGCTGGCTTATTCGGGTGTACATACACCTCAGCAGCACCGCTGCCTTCTCTGGGGTTTCCTTTGAATATTTGTAGTGGAAATGCGTTGAAAAGAAATATAATTAATGAAATATTATGCAGCAAACCGTCGTTAGATATAATTGCACCTCTCCCAGCTGCACATACACCGCAGGTAATTGAATGCACACCGACAGCGCAGAAGCGAAAACAAGAATATTTTAAAATAATTAATAAAGAAGGAATAAGTAAAAAACAATGCGGCATGTTCTGGGGCATGTATATCAACAAAAGACAGAAAATAAGGAAGGCAAAACGCTGCATTTAATTTAAACTCAGGTGTACGTACACCTCAGATGTGCGCATACACCGCAACTCCCACTTCTAACAACTTTAAAACTTCTTTCTTCGGTTTTTTTTTAAGTGTAATCTGACTCCTTTAACCACATGTCCTCAGCGCCGCAGTGTATATACACACCTCAACTTTAATGCAGCTGTGCGGATGCACCCTAACTTTAAATCTGCAGTGTATGTACAGCCCAGCCATATGCGAACCTCCCAAAGAAAAAATATTACGCGAATTGCGAAGAAGCAGTCCGCTACTCAGCTTGCCAGCTAGCTGAGTACCTAACTAGCCGCTCAGCTAGCTAGCTTGGATGCCGCCTGGTTGCTGATGAAAACAGCACCACCCAGTGTATCCAAATAAGGACACCTTGCTTGCGGTGATGCGAAGATTTTGGGATGTGGGTAGCAGGCTAGCTAGCCAACTGGCTAGCTAGCTACCCAGCTAGCTAGCTAGCTAGCTAGCCAGTCAGTTGGCTAGCCAGCGACATAGCTAGCAAGCCACTTCGCAAGCTAGCGAGCTAGCTAGCTCGCTAGACCGTTGGCTAGCTAGCCAGCTAACTAGCTAGCTGACTAGCTAGCTAAATAGCTAGCCGACTAGCCAGTTGTCTAGCTAGCTAGGGTTCATCTTTGAAGGTAGAGTTTCTGGGGTAGTGAGAAGGGCGGTGTCTGCACTCTCCCCAGGAGTTATTGGGGGAGGAGAAGAGCGAATTAGGGTTTCGTTGCTGAGAGAAGTTAGGGTTTAGGCTAGGGTTTAAACTAGGGTTTAGGCTAGGGTTTAGGCTAGGGTTTAGACTAGGGTTTAAGTTTATTGCAGCTGAAGGAGGTGAAGGCTTCGCTGCTGTGTGATAATACTTCGAATAGCATAACAAAGAAACCCCCGAAATAAACACAACCACCACCGTAACAGACATCTCCAGCCCCAGCCTGGTGTACAGGCACCTCAGCAGCCCCAGTACCTGCGCAACAACCCCCTCAAACCCTAAACCCTAAACCCTAAACCCTAAACAAACCCTTCGACTCCCTATACCCCTAAACCGTAAACCCTAAACTCTTCACAACAACGAAAACGAGACCATTCGCTTATTTTCAGCGCACTCAAGCAGTGGTTCCCCCCTAAACCCTAAACCCTAAACCCTAACGAGACCCTAAACCCTAAACCCTCACCACATGCTCGAAGCCCCCCCGAATAAGAGCCACTGTTGTTTGAAGCCCGACAGCCAGAAGAAGACCGCAGAGGGAAAACAAAAGAAAGAATGAAGAGAAAGAAAGAGCGAGATAAACGCCAAGCAGCACCAACACCGCCCCCACCACCTGCGCACACTCAAACCCTAAACCCTAAACCCTAAACCCGAGACACAACCGCCAGCGAAACCCTAAACATCAAACCCTAAACCCTATTTCACTCATCAACCTGAAAACCCTAGACCCTAAAACCCTAAACCCTACCCACGTGAATATAAACCCCACACGCGAAACCCCGTCCACAACGGCCCAACCCTTAAACCCTAAACCCTCAACCCTAAACCCTCGTGGGGGGGGACGTACATTATAGAGTAATCCAAATAAATTGTTTCTGATTTGAGCTTCATATGCTGCTCTGAGCTCTGTCTGAGCCCAGTGAGAAGATACCCGGTGAACCAAAGAAACAGATAAATGTATATTTGTTTTAATTGCTGCTGCTTCAGACAGCAGCAAACTCTCTGCGCGGCGCCGAGCCATCGAAGCAAAACTCTGCCACATGTAATACGAACCCGCCTCCTCCTGCAACAAAACCCAAACCCTAAACCCTAAACCCTAAACCCTAAACCCTAATATTACCCCAGGGAGGAGTGAAAAAGCCGACTCCGCAGCGTCAACCCTTCGTCCGGCATATACTAACCGAAACCCTAAACCCTAAATTCGTAAACCCTAAACCCTAAACCCTAGACCCACAGCTAGGTCTATCTTGAGCTGATCTAAGGGTCTACTGCAATTGCTTTTTATTGCTTCCAGGTTTGACTCTTCAAGCGCCGCCCCCATCTCATACAGCCGCTGCTCCATTTTTGAAGACACCTGCGCGGCAAACCCTAAACCCTAATAAACCCTAATAAACCCTAATAAACCCTAATGAACCCTAATAAGCACTAGTAAACCCTAATAAGCACTAGTAAACCCTAAAACCCTTTCGCCGAGCCCACTACTTCGCCGGCAGGAACAGCTGCTGAGGGGGCGCACTGAACCCCAAACCCTAAACCCTAAACCCTAAACCCTACCTCTTTCCAGGGTTCTGAAGAAGAGCAGTAAACCCTCATGAGGTCTTCTCTCGCCTTCCCCTTTGCTTCTTCGATTTGAGCATCTAACAACTCTTCTTCTACAGGCAAACCCCCGTCTAAACCCGCCAACACTTCGTGACGAAATAAAACCTCCCACCGATCCGCCACCTCCTACGCACACAAACCCTAAACCCTAAACCCTAAACCCTAAACCCTAAACAAGAGGCAATAAGCGACAGAGTCTAGTAGTTCACTCCACATTAAAAATATCCAAGCGAACAAACTTATACATCAACCTCCTCAGCCCTTAACAACAAACCCTAAACCCTAAACCCTAAACCCCAAACCCTCCTGCTCTCCTCCATAAACCCCCCAAATGAGAACCCCAAACCGTCCTGCTCCCCCCCCAAGCCCTAAACCCTAAACCCTAAACCCTAAACCCTAAGCCGTCGACGTTACCTGAGTAGTTTCCTTGCATTTATTAACCCAAGTCTTTAGGGCCTGCGCCTCTAACTTGGCTAACGTTGCCGCCAGATCAGCAGAAACAGCAGAGTAAAGATCAGCGACATCACGCAGCCCCGCGATTTCTCCTTCAAATAGAGTCCAGGCTGAGGTGTACGTACACCCCAAATGCAACAACAAAGACAAACATATACCTCCAGCAGCAACAGAAACAGCAGCAGCAACAGCAACAGCAAGAGTAGCAGCAGCAGCAACAACAGCAGCGCCCGTAGCACCAGCAGCAACAGCAGGCAGCAGCAGCACCACGAGCAGCAGCAGCATCTGTAAGGCTCACCCCCCTGCTGCCAATCCAGCAGCAGCCCCCTGAACTCATGAAGAGGCCGCAGCAAATCAATTGGCTGCTGCTGCAGCTGCTGCCGCAGCGAAGCTGCTGCTCGCTCTGCTGCTCGCTGCATGCGGTCGGTGATGCTCCGCTGTACAACAACAAATAAAAACAAATAGACAAATAAATAAATAAATTAAGAAGAAATAAACAAATAAACAAAAGAAATTAAGAAGAAATAAACAAATAAATAAAAATAATAAATAAACAAACAAAGCAAAAGAATAAAAAGAGCCGATAAAGAATAACAGAACAAATAAAAAACAAACAAATGCATTAAAATAAAACAATAACTAAAAAAGAAATAAGCGATTAAAGACAGCCAACAAAGACAAACAAAACAGCAAATAAAAAAATAAAAAATGTTAATAAAAACAAATGAAGAGCAAACACACAAATACAGAAAAATAAATATATTATAAACAGAAGCAGACAGCAACAACAATAATAAACAGCAACAATAATAATAGCAAGCAATAATAACAATTATTATTATAATAAATAATAATTATTATTATTATAAACAACAATAAAAAAGAGTAGATAAGAAAATCACAAGGGAGAAGCAAAGCGGGCGGCTAGGAAGAGCTGCTGGAGGCTCTAGGGTTTGCGTGAGGGTTTAGGGTTTAGGGTTTGTCTAACGATATTGGCAGAGTGGAGGTCAAGGAAGAGGGCCTGTACAGCTTCAAAGTGCTGCTGCAGCTCGTGATTGCAAGCAGCAACAGCAGTATAGTCGCGCTCTTGCTGCTGCACTCGCTGCAGCAGCGCCGCTTTGCTGTCTCTGATAGCCACAGCAGCAAACACCCGCAGCAGCAAACCCTTATCTGCTGCTCATGCACAACACACCTGCTGCCGCTGCTGCTGCATCTGCTGCCACCAAAACTGCTGCTGAGGAAGCAGCAACAGCAGCAGCAACAGCTGCAGCAGCAGAAAACGCAGCCATCCGGCAGCAAGTGCACCACGCTGGCAGCAAGTGTAGCAGCCGCAGAAAAAGCATCAGCAGCAACAGCAGCAGTACCAGCAGCGACAGCAACAGCAGCAGCATCAGCAGCAACAGCAGCAGAATCAGCAGCGACAGCAACAGCAGAAGCATCAGCGACAGCAGCATCAGCAGCAGCAGCAGGAGCAACAGCAGCAGCAGAGTTTGTTGTTACTGTTGTTGATGGTTAGAGTACTCCGCCAGCTCCTTGGGGCCCATGGGCAGCCGCTTCATTTGCTGCTCTTTTGCTTCCGTCAATATACTCATCTGCGTCTCTGCTGCAGCCTTGCAGAAAGCAGCAACGAGCTTCGTAGCCCTGCACAGCAAACCCTAAACCCTAAACCCTAAACCCTAAACCCTAAGCGCTTGAGAGCAAACACTGTAGACCGAACAATATATCATACAACATACAAGGCAAACCCTAAACACCAATCCATGGGGTTTAGGGCTTAGGAAGCCCTAAACCCTAAACCCTAAACCCTAAACCCTAAACCCTAAACCCTAAGCCGTGGAAAAGAATGAACGCACTTGTGAACGGCTTTGTCTACAGCATCATCGATCTCCCTCAGAAGCTGTTCTTGTTGTTTGTTTGCTTCGGCGCGGTTTACATACACCTCAGCAGCAACTTGCTGCTGCCACAGAGACAAAGTTTTGCTGCGCAGCACTGCAGCAGCAGCACCAACTTCTTCAGGCAGCAGCGGCAGCGTCCGCCGCAGCAGATGGTTCAAATCGCGAGAGAACAGCAGCACCAAGTCGTTCTTAGCCATTGCACTCTGAGCAACCCACAAACCCTAAACCCTAAACCCTAAACCCTAAGCAACAAACAATACGAACTCCTCTCACCACTCGCACGACGCTGAATCGACTCATCTACAACCAAACCTTAAACCCTAAACCCTAATATCTTATTATGATAGTAGAGAAGAGAGGTGCTAAACCCTAAACCCTAAACCCTAAACCCTAATATCTTACTCTGACGGTAGAGAAGTGGTTCATGAAGACCTGCACGTCTCCAAACATATTTGCATTAGCAGCACCAACAAGGAAGCGGACGAGCTCGGCAAGATCTTTACCGGACATGAATCTTTGCTGCTGCTGCTGCTGCTGCAGCTGCTGCTGCTGCTGCTGCTGCAGCAGGGGCTCTCCTGCTGCAAGCTTCAGCTTAGGATGTGCTGCAGCAATAGACATCAGCTTGCGCTTAAACACAGAGAACTCCTTTGTATAGGCTTCGTCTTCATCCTTAGGAAGCAGCAAATCTAAGCGCTGCAGCAAATTGCCGTTGGATGTCGGTGCACGCAAAGCCGTGCAGTCTACCTGCCCGTACAGCGACCTGCAGACAAACCCTAAACCCTAAACCCTAAACCCTAAACCCTAAACCCTAAACCCTGAGCCCTCAAGGCTGAACCCAGTGCGCGGTCGGTGCACTGCCGAGTTGGCGTGATGAAATTGCACTGGGAGAGGGAAAGCACAGCCAAACCCTAAACCCTAAACCCTAAACCCTAAACCCTAAACCCTGTTTACCTGAGGGAGTGCTTGCTTTGCGTCTGCACTTCGTTTGCTTCAACAGCTTGAGGTGCCGTTAACCATCGATTTGTATCTAAGAGAGCCTCCAGCCACTGCTGCGCACTCAGCCCCTCAAGGTCCTGTACATACACCGCAAGCATCAAGAAGGCAGCTAGCTAGCTAGCTAGCTAGCTGACTTCGGGGGCATAGCCCAGGTCTGCGCAGCCAACGGTAGCTAGCTAGCTACAGAGCCAGCTACCTACATACTGTCAGCTAGCTAGCCACATACCCAGCTAGCTAGACGGCTAACTAGCTGGCTGCCTAGCTAGCTAGCTAGACGGCTAACTAGATAGCTAGCTAACTAGCTGTCTAGCTAGCTAGCTAGCTGAGGAGCGGACCTGAACGAAGTCCTGAACGACCCAAGAGAGACAGCAGGGACTCAAGAGGGAAAGCAGCGCAGATGAACTGTCAGCAACTTGCTGCTGCTCCTGCTGCTGCTGCTGCTCCTGCTGCTGCTGCTGCTCCGACATGTCTCGCACTGAGCTGGCGTGCGCTCTGAGGGAGAAGAGGTTTGCGTCCCGCGTCAGGTCCTCCAGCAGTTGCAGATCCTGAAGCCAAACCCTAAACCCTAAACCCTAAACCCTAAACCCTGAAGACGCAGCCGGAAGCCCTCGAACCGCGGCCCCTGTCCGTCTGCTGAAGTGTGTGCAGGCTGGTTGCTTATTCTTCGCCCCTTTAGGGTTTAGGGTTTAGGGTTATACCTGGGCGTCAATCATCTTCATAGTGGTGAAGACTAATTGAGAGGACAAGAAGAAAGCTATGCTGTACAGCAGCTGGTCGTAGCTGCGAGTTACGTTGGGGCCCCCGAACCCTTCGCTATCTAGCAGCAGCACACGAACTACAGCAGGTTCTGCTGCTGCTGCTGCTGCTGCTGCTGCTGTTTCCCCTGCTGCTGCTGTTTGTCCTGCTGCTGCTGCTGCTTCCCCTGATGCTGTTGGTGCTGCTGCTCCTCCACTTGGTGCTGCTGCTGCATTTGCTGCTGTTGTTGCTGCTGATGCTGCTGCTGCTGCTTCAGCAGCAGCAGCAGCAGCAGCAGATATAACGCGTCCTGTCTTTCTATCAACAAAGAGAGGTTTAGAGTGAATAGAGAGACCCAGCGACCCTGGTGCTACTGTATAACCAACAGCAAACCCTAAACCCTCATCTAAACCCTCTTCATCAGCAGACCCTCGCAGCAAACTGTTTAATAAAAAACTCTTTCCCGAGTGTATTGGTCCTACGGACACATACACACACACCCTAAACCCTAAACCCTAAACCCTAAACCCTCAAAAGACACGGAATTCTAAAACCTAAACCCTCACTAACCCGCACAATCTCTAACCCTCAAGCGTTAGCCCTAAACCCTAAACCCTAAACCCTAAACCCTACCTAGAGCTGCAATGACCGCTATAGGCGCGGGAATCTTCTCCAACTCCGCAAGCGCCTCTTCGTTTACACGAAACCCTAAAGACAAACCCATAACCCTAAACCCTAAACCCTAAACCCTACACCCTACACCCTAAACCCAAGCCCTGAATCTACACACTGCACCTTAAAGAAGAAACACCAATGCAGCGAACGTGCGGAGGCCAATTCGCTTCATCTTCAGTCTTAAAGGCCACACCAAACCCTAAACCCTAAACCCTAAACCCTAAACCCTAAAAGGTTACCCGTGTGGAGTTCATTAGGCATAACGATTTGCAGAGGTCTTCCTCCTGTTTTCTTGCTGCTGGATCCTGCATGCGTTTCCTTCTGCTGTGGCTTTTGCTGCTGCTTCTGCTGCTGCTGCTGCTTCTGCTGCTGCTTTTGCTGCTGCTTCTTCTGCTGCTTCTGTTGTTGCTGCTGCTGCTGCGGCTCCGCCTCAGCTGCTGCAGCAGCTGCGCCCAGCAGCAGCAGCAGACCGACGAGCAGCCGAAGCCGCGTGCGAGGGAAGGACATCGCGTGAGAACGAACCCCCACCCCCAAACCCTAAACCCTAAACCCTAAACCCTAAACCCTAAACCCTAGAGGGTATAAGGCAGGGGAATGAAGCGCGTGTCTGCGTGTGTATTGGTGGTGGTAAGCCCTCAGTCAATCCTGCAGAGCTTCATCTAAATAATCATTTAAAGCCTGATGCCTCCTCAAGACTGCTGCCCCTAGTTTAGCAAAGTCGGGGTGTACGTACAGGTGGGCAGCGAGGCGCTGTGCAACAGGCCGAAGATAACTCATGAGGTATTGTCTTTCTCTGATATATTCGCCTAATCTCTCTCCAATATCAAAGGGAATTACTTGTACAATCCAAACAAATGCATATAAACGAGAAAAAACTGAACAAACAAACCCTGCAGCACCCAGGGCTTCCATCCTTAAGTAAGGCGGCCCCCTTAATCTGCAGTCTGTATTGAGTTAATTAATTGTTTTTTCTCTTTAATTTTCATAATTATATATTTCATTCAACTTATTTCAAAGTTTTATACTCAAAGAACCCAAAAATTTACTCCGCAACCCAAGAACAGCTCATGCAGCTCTCTGCTGCTGCTGTTGCTGCTGCTGCTGCTGCTGCTGTTGTTGCTGCTGCTGCTGCTGCTGTTTTTTTGCTACTAAACCCTCCTCTTCTTTCTCAGGGTTTCGTGTTTAAAAAGAAAAATAATAAAAAGAAAACAACAAAACAATACACCCCATCAGACAACACACAGCCTCTGCTGTTCTAGCTGGGGGTTCAACTGCTTAAGACTTAACACAAACCCTAAACCCTAAACCCTAAACCCTAAACCCTAAAATATGATTAAATGCCCCAGGGTGTCCTGGGAAGCGTTGCTGCAGCTCTCCAGCAGCAATAACGAGTATTATTAATAAGATTTGCTGCAGCTTGTGTTGCTTTCGTCTGTCTTTTTAATTGCTGCTGCTGCTTGCTAGTTCTCTATTAATAATTTGAGGTGTACATACACCGCAGATATATTCTTGCTAAACCCTAAACCCTAAACCATAATGAACGAACGGCCAAAGACAAGTCGGCAAAAAGACAATACAACCGTCATTGCAGCAAACACTCATGCTGTGAGCTGCTGCTGCTGCTGTCTTGCCTGCTGCTGCTGCTGTTGTTGTAGTACAAGCAGCAGCAACGGCCAGTGAAGCAGCAGCTGCTTCTCCGTTTCGTGGTTTTGCGTGCTTCTGCTGCTGCCCTTTCAGCTGCTGCTGCTGCGCTTACTAGGGCTGCTGCTGCACTTGCTGCTGTTGCTGCTGCTGCTGCGCTTACTGCTGCTGTCGCTGCAGCAACTTGAGCTTCCACTTAGGCAAATTGGAGGAGGCTGCCGCTGCAGCTTGCGGCGGCTGCTGCTGCGCCTCCGACAGCATTGCTTCTGCTGACAGCAGCATCACCTGCAGCCCGCCTCCCGCCCCAACTGCTGTTGGTGCTGCTGCTGCTGCTGCTGCTGCTGCTGCTGCTGCTGCTCGGGGGTTCTTCCCTTCTCGCTGTGTGGAGTCCTTGGGGCTTTGTTGGTTTTGCTGCTGTTCGTTGCTGCTGCTCTTGTTGCTGCTGTGGCCCCGTTGCTGCTTGCTGCTCGTCTTTCGGCTATTGCTGCTGCTTCTGCTTCTGCTTCTGCTGCTGCTGCGCCGTCTGCTGCTGCTGCGGCTGCTGAGCCGCAACCTGGGAGGAGACAGCTGCCGCTCCTCCAGCACTGCAGCAGCAACAAGGAAATTCAAGACGCAACTGCAGCAGCATTAGCAGCAACAGCACTACACCAGCAGCAGCAACAGCACTGCAGCAACAGCAGCAGCAGCAACAGCACTGCACCAGCAGCAGCAACAGCCCTGCAGCAACAGCAATGCAGCAGCAGCAAGGCAGTACCAAACGATCCAGTCGCAGCACCAAGCGCAACAGCAACATCTAAAGCAAGCAACAATAACAGCAACAGTAGCAGCAGCAGCAGCAGCAGCAGCAGCAGACCTGTCTTGTGCTCCACAGGGCCGCTCCCAAATATTGCGTCCAGATGACTCGCCTCCTCCCCCGCAGCTACAGCCTGCGCAGCAGCAGCAGCAGCAACAGCAGCAAATGGAACAGCAGCAGCAGCAACAGCAGCAACAACAGAGGCAGCAACAGAGCAGCAGCGGAAACAGCAGCAGCAGCAGCAACAACAGCAGCAGCAACAGCAGCAGCAGCAACAAGAGCAACAGCAGCAGCAGCAGACCGTCTTTTTAGCGTGGCGGTGTCTGTCAATAAAATCTGCGAGTGAAAATTCGCTGTCGTCTTCAACTGAGGCAATTGCTGCTGCTCGCAGGCTGCCCTCTGCCTATACACCGCAGCCACACACGCCATTGCTGCTGCTGCTGCTGCTGCTGCTGCTGCTGATGCTGATGATGGTTCGGCTGCTGCTACAGACCGCGGCAGCAGAGCAACAGCAGCAACAGCAGCAACAGCAGTAACGCAAACAAACGAAGCTGCAGCAACAAATGCAGCAGCAGCAACAACAGATGCAGCAGCAACAACAGATGCAGCAGCAAGAGCAACAGACAGCAACAAGAATAGCAACGAGAACGGCAACAGCAGCAGCAACAAATGCAGCAGCAGCAGCAACAGAGTGCAGCAGCAACGACAACGAATGCAACAGCAGTAGCAGCAGCAGCAGCAGTAGCAGCAACAGACAGCAGCAGCAAAGTCGTCTCTCCAGGTGGCTTTGGCTTTGCCCGCCCTCTCCGCTTCTTCATCGATGACTGTCTTCAACTTCTGTAGACGCCTAAACGCAAACCCTAAACCCTAAACCCTAAACCCTAAATCCTAAACGCCGAAACCCTAAACGCCGAAACCGAAACCCTAAACCCTTTACTTCAAAGCCTAAACCCTAAACCCTAAGGGCAAACACAGAAACCCTAACGGCCAAGCAATTAACCATAGCCCCCAAACCTTGAAACGTGAACCCTAAACCCTAAACCCTAAACCCTAAACCCTCAGCTATGGTGGTCTGACCCCTCCTCAGCCGTCAGCGGTCGCCTCGAATTTCCACCACTCTTCTCCTTTTGCTCCTGCAGCGCAAACCCTAAACCCTAAACCCTAAACCCTAAACCCTAAAACCAAGGGTTTATGTCTTAAAGCCCAAAGCCTGTGCTCGACTAAACCCTACACCCTAAGCCTACGCCCTAAACCCTAAACCCTAAACCCTACACGCTAAACCCTAGCCTCACTTGCAGGTGCCGGGAAACTTTTGCCTTCAAAGCAGCAGCAGCATCACTGGCGTCCATTACGCTGCTGCTGCTTTTGCTGCTGCTGCTGCTGGTGAATCTTCTTGGGCTCCTGCTCCTGCTACGCGCGCGATTCCTGCTGCTGCTGCTGCCGCTGCTGCTTTTCTTTTCTCTGTTGCTGCTGCTGCTGCTGCTGCTACTGCTGCTGCTGCTTCTGTGTTTTTCTCTGCTGCTACTGCGGCTACGGGCTCTGCTGCGCTGATAGGGTCGGCTCGTGCTACTGCTGCTACTGCTGCTGCTGCCGCTGCTGCCGCTGCTGCTGATGTACCTACTGCTTTTGCTACTGCGGCGTCTGCTGCTGCTGCGGCGTCTGCTGCTGCTGCGGCTCCTGCTGCTGCTCCTGCTGCTGCTGCTGCTGCTGCGCCGGCGGTAGCGGCGTCCGCTGCTGCTGCTGCTGCTATGCAGTTTCTGACCGCCTACGCAAGCGCTCTGGACGCTCTTAACAAACATAGACGACAGCGCATCTTTGCTGCTGCTGCTGCTGCTGCTGCTGCTGCTGCTGCTAATGCTGCTGCTACCGCAAAAGCCCAGGCCCGTCTTCCCACGGCTCTGTTTCTCCGCCAGGTTCCGCTGTGCACATAAACCCCAAACCCTAAACCCTAAACCCTAAACCCTAAACCCCAGCCTTAATTCGTGAATCCTAAGCCCTAGGTGCATCGCCGTGGACTTCGAACGTTGAAGCGCTAAAGACAAGCCCTAAACCCTCAACACTAAACCCTAAACCCTAAACCCTAAGGAGGCTCACGTAACATCTTTCCTGTTCGTCCTCCCCCCAACCCCGCCGCGAGTCTGTTGCGCAGCACAGCAAGATAGGGGCAGCAGCAAACTGCAGCAGCAGCAGCAGCAGCTGCAGCAGCAGCAACTGCAGGAGCAGCAGCAACAGCAGCTGCAGCAGCAGCAACTGAAACAGCAGCAACACCAACTGGAACAGCAGCACCAGAAACCGTGGTTGCAACCGCTAGCCTTGGGGACTAGGGTTTAGGGTTTAGGGTTTAGGGTTTAGGGTTCTCACTCGGCATCCCCCGTAGGGGCCCTTGGAGCCGGGCACAGTGGAAGGCAGCTGGCTGTACACCTGAATTAAAATTTCCTGTTTCTGCTGCTGCTGTTGCTGCTGCTGCTGCAGTCTCTTATCCTGCTGCTGCTGCTGCTGCTGCTCCTGCCACTACTACTACTGCTGCTGCTGCTGCTGCTGCTGCTCGCGAAGTTACAGCTGGCGGCAGCAAACTGAGCAGACGAACCCAGAAGGGCGAAGAGTTCAGGGTTTAGGGTTTAGGGTTTAGGGTTTATAGTTTAGGGGTGCGGCAGTCGGAGGCTAGGAACACCACAAGATCCGTCCACGGGGGCCCCCAACCCTAAACCCTAAACCCTAAACCCTAAACCCTAATAAGCCGTACGCTCTAGACCCCAGACAACCAACCCTAAATCCTAATTATATTTTTAGTTTGTTTGTAATATGCAGAGTTTCAAAAAAAGATATTTACTTCCGTTACTCCCCGCTAATAAACCCTAAACCCTAAACCCTAAACCCTCGGCACGAGGCAGCACGTACAGGGGCCCCTTGCCCACAAGGGTCTACACTTAACTATTTAGGGTTTAGGGTTTAGGATTTAGGTTTAATGAGTAGGAGTTAGGGTTCAGGTTTAAATATATGGGGTTTAGGGTTTAGGGTTTAGGGTTTAGGGTTTAGGGTTTAGGGTCGAAGCGGGGAATGCAGCAATGGCGACAGGAACGGAGTGCCCCTTACGGCAGCCCGCAACCCCAGCAGCAGCAGCAATATATGCAGCAGCAGCAGCAGCGGCTGCTGCCGCAGCAGCAACACTTGTGGGGGCAGCAGCAGCAGCAGCGGGGTAGACAGCAGCAACCACAGCAGCAGCAAAGGTGGCACCAGCAGCAGCAGCAGCAGCAGCACCAGCACCAGCAACAGCAACACCAGAGAACGAGGGAAGATCTTCGTGTATTTCCGCTTAGCCCCAGCCAATCCAGCAGCAGCAACAGCAACAGCAACAGCAGCAGCAGCAGCAGCAGCGGTAGCAGCTGCAGGAAACATCATTTCCAGCGGCATCCGGGGCGGCAACTTACCCAGCAGCAGCAGCAGCAGCGGCAGCAGCAGTTGCTGCTAACAAAAGGAGGGGAAGGCTATGCTCGATTTGCTGCTGCTGTGCCGCAGCAGCAGCGCAGCAGCGCCCTTGCAGACTCCTGGCATCCCCAAACCCCCGACGCCTCCAAGGTGAGGGTTTAGGGTTTAGGGTTTAGGGTTTAGGGTTTGGGAATCCGGGTTTTGGGGGGTTAGAGTGGGGGTCTAGGGTTTTGTGTGGAGGATTTAGGGTATAGGCCTCCATATCGTTCAGGGTTTAGGGTTTTGGGTTCATGGTTTAGGGTTTAGGGTTTGGGGTTCAGGGTTTAGGGTTTAGGGTTTAGGGTTTGGCTTGTGTGGCGCAGCCTCTCAGCGTGGCGCAGTGGCGGGAAGTGTTGGGCAAATGGCGGCGGCAGATTCACAAGTGGACGAACGTACACCGCAAACCCTAAACCCTAAGCCCTAATCCTTAAACCCTAAACCCTAATATCTAAACCCTAATCCCTAAACCCTTTCCATCGCAGTTTGCATCCTTGGCTGTACCTACAGATAGTTCTGGGTAATTTTCACTCTTGACCCTTCCTGTTGCTGCCTAGGGTTTAGGGTTTAGGGTTTAGGGTTTGGGGTTTGTGCAGCTGCCTGCTGAGGTGTACACGGAGCTTTCGGCTTTGTCTGTCGCGGAGCAAATTAATTTGCTGCAGTCTCTGCCCCCCAGCAAGCTCGACGTCCGCCAGCTGTCTCCTGCAGCAGCAGAAACAGCAGCAGCAGCAGCAGCATCTGGGGGGGACACAACTGCAGCAGCAGCAGCAGCAACGACACCGCCTTCAGGAGCATCCCAACAGGCGCCACAGGTAGGGGTTTGTGTCCTAGGGTTTAGGGTTTAGGGTTTAGGGTTGAAGATTCAGAGTCTTCAGCGTTCCCGTTTGCTGTTGCTTCACTCCGCTGGGTGTTTTGTGCGTGCAGCAGCAGCAGCAGCAGCAACAGCAGCAGCAGCAGCAGCAGGGTGCAGATGTGCTGCTGGCTGCATTGCTGGGGGGTAGTCGCTGGACTTCGGCTGCCAACGGCCCCACCGCCTTCGTCCCCAAGTGGTTCCGTACAACCCTGCATGCACCAGGGTCTGCTGCAGCTGCTGCTGCTACTGTTGCTGTTGCTGCTGCTGCTGCTGCTGTGGAGGCTGTTGCTGCTGCGGTTGCTGCTGCTGTGGATATGCTGTTGCTGCTGCGGTTGCTGCTGCATCTGTTGTTGTGAAGATAGAAATAATGAAGGCGGTCCTGCTGCTGCTTCTGCTGCTGAAAGACGACATTAAATTGGTTGCTGCTGATGCTGCTGCTGCTGCTGCTGCTTCATGGAGAGCTGAAGTTGGCGTTGCTGCTGCAGCGGCATCAGGTTGCACTTTGCTGCTGTTGCTGCTGTTGCTGCTGCAGTTTGCTTTGCTTGCAGGAGGAGAAATTCAAGAAAGCGGCAGAGGCGGCGGCGATGAAGATGAAGACAATTAATAAGGGTTTGTCTGTCTTTGTCTTTGTCTTTGTCTTTGTCTTCTGTCTTTTTGTTTGTTTTTTTGTTTGTCTTTATTATTGCGTTGGTTTTATCATTGGCTTTGTTTGTCTTTGTCTTCGTTAGCCTTTTTTACTCTTTGTTTGTCTTTGTCTCTCTGTTTCTTTGTTTGTCTTTATGCTTGTCTTTGTTTGTCTTTATGCTTGTCTTTATTTGTCTTTGTTTGTCTTTGTTTGTCTTTGTCTTTTTCTTTTATCGTTTTCTTTTGTCTTTGTCTTTGTCTTTGTCTTTGTCTTTTGTCTTTGTCTTTGTCTTTGCTTGTCTTTGTGTTTATATTTGTCTTCATTTGTCTCTGTCTCTGCATTTATTTTTGTGTTCATCTTTGTCTTTATTGCTGTCTTAACTTTTATTTTTGTCTCCTCCCCTTAATTTTTGTTTTTGTCTTCGTTTATCTTTGTCTCTTGTCTTTGTTTGTGTTTGTCTTTATAGTTGTCTTTATATTTTATGTCTTTGTTTGTCTTTATTTAATTATATCTCCACCTCTCTTTTGTTTGTTTGTTTGTCTTTGTTCTGTACTGGTGTTGGTACATACGTTTAGGGTTTAGGGTTTAGGGTTTAGGGTTTAGGGTTTGTGTCGCAGATGGGCTTGAAGGGTTTGGCCCTCCATCTGCTGCATTTGTTCGGGCTCAGCAGCGGATTGCCGCAGTCTACGGCCCTGCTGCTGCTGCGCTTTCCTGCCTCAAGCCGCAGCAGGAGGAGGAGCAGCAGAAGCAGCAGCAGCAGCAGCAGCAACGTCAGCAGCAGCAACGGCAGCAGCAACTGTTGCAGCGCATCGGCAAGCTGCGGCTGCAGCAGCTGCCCCTAGATTTGAAATTTCGTGTGGAGAACCTGCAGCCTCCCCTTTGGGGTGTTATCCCCAGCAGCAGCAGCAGCAACAGCAGCAGCAGCAGCAGCAAATGCTGCAGCAGCGAAACGTTGCAGCTGCTGCAGCAAAATGCTGCGTTGCTGTTAGCAGCTGGGGGAAGCCTGAACAGCGATGAGCTGCAGGCTGTTTATTTATCTCCTCCACGGACTTCTAGCAAACGACAAAAACGTTTTTAGCCCTACTTTTTGCTTTCTAGGGTTTAGGGTTTAGTGTTTAGGGTTTAGGGCCATATCCCATGTAAACTCGACACAGGGTCAGGACTTAGGTTTAGGTTGGCGTTCTCGTTGCTGCTGCTGCTCATGTTGTTTGTTGCTGCTGACGTTGTGAAGATCTGCTGCTTCTGCTGCTGCTGCTCTTGTTATCAAGGCAACACGACGTCCCCTGTAGCAGCGTCGACGGGGCCTGCAAAGGGGGGAAGGCCTCGCGGTGTGCTGGGGGGTCTTGTAGCGGCTGCCCAGCGGACCTGAGGGTTTGGGGCTCAGTATTGAGGGTTTAGGGTTTAGGGTTTAGGGTTTAGGGTTTACCATATCTTCCGTGAGGGCTTCGCCGTTAGCACAGGGCCAGAAGACTGAAGGGAGGCGTCAGGACGGACGCTACAGTAAACAGAACAACAGCTTCAGCGGCAGCAGTGACAGCAGCAGCAGCAACAGCAGCAGCAACGATAAGGCTAACCGTTGCACTTTTGGCTCGCTCGTATTTTGCCTTCTTCATTCAGGGCCCCGAAGTTTTCTTGGAGGCGGCAAGGCCCCGAATAGGTTTGCTGCAATGACGGTTTAGGGTTTAGGGTTTAGGGTTTAGGGTTTAGGATTTGCTGCTCACTGGAGCGCTGCATGCACTGCCTTGCTGCTGCCACCCCAGCGGACAGTTTGCTGCGAAGTCGCGCTGGCAGTTTGGGGGGGCGCAGGCGAAAGACACCCCACAAGCCACTTCAGCTTCTCTCATTTGCTGCTGCTGCTGCTGCTGCTGCTGCTGCTGCTCCAGGGGGAAGTCTAGGGGCGGCATGCCGTCAGCGCAGGGCCCGGAGTAGTTTGCCTGGAGGGTAGGGCGAAGCAGAATAAAAACAAAAGAAGCAACAAAAACAAACAAATTAAAAATAAACATAAAAAGAAGAAGCAAAAACAAGCAAAGACAAATACAAGACAAAGGCAAACAACAAAATAAAAAAATGTAACGGAGACGCAGGAATATAAAACCAACGTCCACGCCCTCAACCACTAGGGTTTAGGGTTTAGGGTTTAGGGTTTACTGGTGGTTTGCAGGATCCTTGATTGAAGGTCCAGTTGAGGGGACAGCGCGAAGACGGCCCAGACGGGCAGACAGGAAGACAAGGAAACAGCAGCAAACATCTTCTCTCCAGCAGCATCTTCATTTCAGGGTTTGCTGCTGCTGCTTCTTGCCTGCTGCACGGGCCCCTGTACCCCTCAGGGGCCTCGCAAACCTCTCCTGAGACGTCACCGCATAGGGTTTAGAGTTTAGGGTTTAGGGTTTAGGGTTTAAGGTCGTGAAATACCAGCGAGGTTCCAGCCTTCAGGGCAGGGAGCCGAATAGTCTCGAGCGCAGGGCGCCTCACAAGGCCCTTAAAGCAGAAATTAGGGTTTAGGGTTTAGGGTTTAGGGTGTAGGGGAAGCTACGTACAGGACGCTGTGCAGGCGCTGGACCATCTCATCTTCTCGGAGCTGCACTTGGAGGTTTAGGGTTTAGGGTTTAGGGTTTAGGGTTTTGAAACTTACGGCGACATGACCCCAAAATTCGTCCTGCGCTCGCATCGACCTGAGGATTGACGGCTTCAGTACTCAGGGTTTAGGGTTGAGAGTTTAGGGTTTAGGGTTTAGGGTTTAGGGTTTAGGGTTTAGCGCCCAGCGCCTCAAAAGCAGGAGGGAAAGGGAGCCGTTGAGCCCAGCTCACCAAACCCTTAACCCTAAACCCTGCAACGAATGTCAAGCACCTAACTGTATACCCTAAACCCTAAACCCTAAACCCTAAACCAGTGGCTCACCGGAGTAAGAAAAAGGTGCTTCGCATATGCCGTTTTCTTGTCTGACAGGAAGGGAGGTTAGGCACTAAACCCTAAACCCTAAACCCTAAACCCTAAACCCCGAAGCATTACTCTCTCCAGTTCTCAGGACAAAGGAGGCTGAAGTCCCTCTTGCACTTCTTCATGCTGCACAAGGACGACCCCGACGAAAATTAGGGTTTGGGGTTTAGGGTTTAGGGTTTAGGGTTTAGGAATACCAGGGCCAAGAAATGAGACACTGATCCTCCAGCTGCTCCTTCTCCGATTGGCTGACACCGAAGTTCATCTGCCTTTGACAACTTCCTGCGGCGTCGATACGCATAAGCCGTAAACCCTAAACCCTAAACCCTAAACCCTCGTCCTCACCGATGTATGCTTCAGGGGCAGTGCAGGAGGAGCCGTCGCTGGAAGGGTTCCAGGCGAAGGGGCAAAGCACAGAAAAGTCGTGGGGACAGAACTTCTGTTCAACGAGCAATTCAACCACTTGCTGCTGCTGCTGCTGCTGCTGCTGCTCGTCTAGGGGCTGCATTTGCTGCAGTAGCTCTCGCTGCAGTACGGAGAGGTCGTAACCCCTTAAGGGCACCTCCTGCACCCTCTTTTTCTCTTTCATAGCATCGCTAGCTTCGCGTAGATTCTCCAACTGAAATCAACAGCCATTAGGATTGAGCCATCACCACAATTCTTTTGCGGTTTAGGGTTTAGGGTTTAGGGTTTAGGGTTTGGGGGTACCTCGCCCTTGCATTCTGAGGTTAGCTCGGCTATGCGCTTTTCCTTTTCCTTCATTTCCTGCTCCTCTTCTGAACAAGGGTTTAGGGTTTAGGTTTTAGGGTTTAGTGCTTAGTGGATGCAGTTGAGAAGGCAAAGGACCGTCTTTCATCTTCATACACGCCTCCAGCATGTTCGGCTTCATCAGAGGCCTTTGAATAAAGGGGATCTGAAAGGATTATGGTTTAGGGCGTATGGTTTAGGGATTAGGGTTTAGTATTTGAATTCTGTGCACCTTCTCCGCCTCCGGGTCGATCTCCCGTCTGCATTGCGACTCTTTCTCCTCCTTTGTTAGTTTTCTGATTGTCTTTTGCTCGACTTGGAGTTTTCTTTTTAACTCGTTGCAATCATTTTGTCTTTTTTCGTCGAAATTGAAAATTTCGTTTATATCCGATGCAGGACGCGACGGAGTGGTGGGGGTAAGGGGCGCTGCCGACTGAAACCGGAACGCTGAGCACAAGCATAAAGAGTTTGAGAAGAAGAAGAGGGAGATTTTCATTGATTTCCTGCAAATAAATAACTGAGTATTAAACATTTCATGAACAAATTGTTTTCAGGAGGGAAGATTCCGTTGTTTCCTCCTTCTGGGCTGCCCTTTGCCCATTGGTGTTTTTGCTGAGGTGTATCGACTTTGCAGATGTTGCCGAGTTGCGGGTTTCCAGGGGAAATCTCTGAAAAACAAAAAGAAACTTCAACAAATCAGACTTAATTGGCATTTGTAATATTAAATTTAAGTAAATGTATCTTAATCCAGCAAGAATAGAGGATGAGAAGTGCATATTCCGCTGTTTCTCCTCTGCGCCGGTTTCAAATCAAAACGCGAAATGGCCGATCGGCCGCATTGACAGCCCCAGGCGGTTGAGCTGCCGACCAGAGAAACTTTTTGCATTTGTATTGCAATTAGTGTTATTGTTTTGTAAAGTTCATCGATTTGCATCCAATTTTTTTGCCTATTTCCCACGTTTTCGCTGCAGAACCCAACGCTAGACGCTGGAGGCGCGCATGTCAGTGCATAAATGCTCTAGGAAAGGGAAGCAGGCAGCAGAGCACTGATGGCTCGTATTGGGAGCCGCCTCGTTTATCCCGCCTTTTGCAATCCTTTTCTGAACCTGTCTAACCGCCGCAAACGATACGCGCACCAGTGTAAGGGGCCCCACTACCAACTGCAGCAGCAAGGGCAGCGATACGGCAGCATCTTCTTCACAGCTGCGGTGCCTCCTCCGCTTTCCTTTCTACCCTTTGCAGCACGCCGATGGATCACAGCACAAAACGGTGGGGCGAAGCAGCAAATGCAGCGCACCCATGAGCTGGCGCTGCAGCAACAGAGGCACAATCTGCGCGTGGAAAGGCGTCTAGAGCAGCAGCAGCAGAAACAGCAACAACCGCAGCAGCAGCCGCAGCAGCACAACTACCAGCTGCTTGTCTATAACCCCACTTCGGCCGCTTTTAGGCACATGACCCCCACCTACTGTACGCCGATGAAGCAGCTGTTAGTGTGCTGAGTTTGCTGCTTCGTTACTATTTGCAATTTTAAAGGCTCTCCACTTGCTGGCTGATGCAGACATTCCAGAAATACAGACAAGACGAAAGCAATCAGCAGCAGCAGCAGCAGCAGCAGCGATGGATCCAGGCAGCAGACAGGGAAAGCACTTCACCGATGGATGCGGGCGGTGTTCATACACCCCAAAGTTTGGCCATGAGGTGGCTCGCTGATGTGGGGAGCAGCCGATTGTCTTCAGCCACTAAATAAATGCTGCAACAGAACTTCCAGATGCCTATATATATATAGATGAAAGCATCTGTATATATATATATATATACATATATACTTATTTTTTCATGTATACTGTGTTTAAAATTCACCTCTGAATATGTATGTTCATATTTTGGCTATTGTATACGCGTAAATAAAGTGTATTTATGTAATATATATATATATATATATTTATGTATGTATGCATGTATGTATGTATGTATGTATGTATGTATGTATGTATGTATGTATGTATGTATGCGTGTATGTATGTATATTTTGAATGAATATATGCATGTAGTGTATTCATGTATATAAATATATATATACATATATATATAGTGCGCTAATACTTAGATAATTGAGCGTAACTTCAGAATACACCTAATTATGAATATATACGCGTACATGAACACGCGTACGTTCATTCATACATTTTTTAAATAAGAAGCCCCTCTGCATTTGTTTATTTGTTTGTTTGTTTATTGGCATTTGTTTGAAGTAGAGGCTGATGCATTTACTGAGACACAGCATATCACTTATCAACAGACTCAGGCAGATGTTGACTTCAAAAGAAACAAAAAAGGGGTAATAAAATGCATGCATGCATGCATGCATGCATGCATCAGAACTGCTCTCTGCTGCTGTTCTGAAGGGGTTAGAAATAGGAGAATCGCATTGCTATGAGGGGGAAACCAGGAAAAGGGATTTTAATGGGTTATTTTGGAGTGTATGTCCAGCTCTAATTGATGCGGTGGTCCACTGGTCCGCCCGTGTACGATTATATATTTTTAATTCATCACAGAACAGCAGTTTTTAACAGTTAGTAGGGGATTATTATAAAATAGAGTTAAAGTGCAATAATAATAGTAATAATAATAATATTGTCCCCAACCGGAGCCCCTCCGCCCAGCCTACGTATGCAGAATAATCAGATGTGCATACACCGCAGAGGGGTCGGTGTGTGCCGGAATTTTCCCTTTAAAACCCCATATAAGCTTCATTATAGATTAAACTTGTATTTAATACTTCGTTTTCTGTTTTATTTTAATGAAAAGTCTGCAAAATAGTGCAGCACAACCCACCGGCCTTGCACACACTAGAAGGCAGCAGCACCCGCGGCTCGCTGCTTCTCTTCCTGTTAATTCCGAGTGAATTTGCTGGTTTTTAGTTGGGAAGATTGGTTTTAATTTCTATTTTTATTTTAAAAATAATATAATTTGGAGAAATAAAGGGAAAAGTGCGAGAAAATGATGTGCAGGGCCCCAGCCTGCATTAAGCAGAGCCCGTGCGGCGGCAGCGCCTCGCATGGTTTCTCCCTGCTGCTTAGGGCTGTCTTCTTTTTGTGTTTTGTTCATTTAATTCATTCAATTTACTTCATTAATTAATTTCCCAAGGTAAAAACAACACAAAGAAGGTAATTTGTGTTTATTTTCTCCCTCCTCCCCCCCCCCGCAAGCCGCCGCTAGTCGCTGCAATCGGCGCTGCGGTGGCTGAGGCCGTGGGATCTCGCCTTCTCATTACAACAGCGTCAGCAACAGGAGCAGGAGAAACAACAACAGCAGCAAATACACGTGAAGCTCTAAGCATGAGTTGCTTGCCCTGGCTGAAGCGGGCGTCGCGGAAGCCCTCGAAGCAACGACAGCCGCCAGCAGATATAGAACAGATAGAGAAAGAAGAAGAAGAAGGTGAAGAAGGAGTGCCGGTATTTTACCCTCTGTATGACCCCAGGCGTGTGGATCCAGATCGCCCAGAGCCTCCGCTGTTAGATCAACGTGAACGCCAACGCCAAGCAGCAGCAGCAGCTGCTGCAGAAGGAGCAGCACTTGCACAAAGCTTCAGCAAGCAACTTACAGACATTCCTACTGAACTCCGCGACAAAGAAGTATTGTCTGTCCCTCACAGCGAAGACGGCGAGAGCTCCGCTCTTGAGGAAGAGGAAGCAGCAGCAGCAGCAGCAGAAGCAGCAGAAGCAGAAGAAGAACGCCCTCTACAACCTCTACAAGGAGACTGCAGCCCTATCTCTTTGGAGTCTCTCGATCTTACACCTGAACCGCCGTCTAAGCAATCTACTAAACCCTTAACACCCCCCCGTAGCCCGCCGCAGCAGCCGCAGCAGCCGCCGCAGAAGCCGCAGCCGCAGCAGCAACAGCCGCAACCGCAGCCGCAGCAGCCCC